TGCAATGCAAAGTGTTCAAAAAGTGAAGGGGTCTCAAAGTTTTCTGTACATGCAAAGATGTTTTATTTCTTTGTGTGCACACACATGCACTGGTGAGGAGTATTACTCACTCTGACAGGTATACCGTGCCCCTCCGCATCCCACAGGCCCTTGTTGCTTTGCACTCACTGCATGTGGCATGTCTTCCACTTGAAGAACCAGGCCAATTGTCTGTGTATTGTTATGTGTGTGTGAGAGAGAGACAGAAAACATTTGGAGAATGGATACAGGCTGCTGTTAACCCAGTTTTGGAGTAACTCACCATGGCTCAGCGTGGCATAATTGCCTGCACATGCAGTGTGTGTGTGTGTGCGGAAGATGCAAGTAATGGATCACTGATCTCACCATCATGATCACCAAGCCCTTCAAATGGCAGTTGCTTCCTGTAGAAGTATTACAGTAGTATTGACGTTTGTGTTGTTTGGATATTGATTTGACTGTAGACATGTCTGCCTTATCAAATGATACACATCTGTGTACTTGCTGTTGTTTTCATGTGTCCATGGGACAAATCAAAATGGCAGTTGAAACAATGTACTAATCAGATTAAAGTTGCTGCAGTGAATTCCAGCAGTGGCAGATGTCTGTTCTCCAGAAAGAGACGGAGAAACTGGCCACCTCAGGAAATTTAAAGTGAAATGCTGTCACCTGCTGGACGACGTTCACCATGCACCCCAGTAAGTCGCAAGGAATTCTGGGAGGGAACGACCCAATTTGAGCCATTATGAAGAACGTAGGCTGATGGGTAGATGAATCAGTCACAATAAAAACCACACACATCTTCTCTAAACTGCCCCAGGTGAAATAATTTTGCCATCACAGACCAATCATTGAGATGAATGGAGGTCTGTACATTTTCCCAGTGTACTGCCATTAGATCAAGTGCTGCTGTTGTTTACAAAGCACTTTTTATGGGCTCCAGGGAAGCAATAGGTTTATTATTTGAGTTCACAGAGTGCAGGGTGGCTGTCTAATGAGGGGATATGTAAATTTGTGCCCTAGCCTACTGTACCTATATCAGCTTTTTCATGGAGCTAAAATAAATGTCCACTGAAGTCGAGCACTAAACAAAAAAGACGAACACTTCCCTTGACTATATTTGGTAATATGGGGTTACAAATGATTTAGTTCTTTTGGGACAGTGATGATAGAATGTGGGTATAGTATTAGTACAATCACACATTCATCAACCAAAACTTTGTATAACATCTTTTGCAAAAATTAATGCAATGCAAAGTGTTTTACAGATGGCTTAGTAGGATTTAGTAGTTTTTTTTTTCTACAATAAAATATAAATTTTGCTAGAAGGAAGATTAAGCCAGAAAAGGCAGTGAAATATATGGCAACAGGAGACATCATAATATATATATTCACAATTATATTTTTAGATTGCGTTTTGATTTGCCAGCGTAAATCACATAGGCATTTCAGTAATTAAGGAGTGCTTCATGTGATTCTGTGTGATCAGATGAGGTAACTAATTTTGTAGGTAACATTTTGACCAGCTGCATCACAGTCTGGTACGGCAGCACTACTGCTATGGACCGCAAGCGCCTGCAGAGAGTGGTAAAGACTGTGGAGAAGATCACCAGGACTCCACTGCCCTCTCTGCAGAGCATTTACCACCACAGGGTGCATAGGAAGGCTGCCTCGATCCTCAAAGATCCCACCCACCCCCAGCACGAACTCTTTGCCTCCCTACCCTATGGCCAGAGGTTCAGAAGTGTGAAATGCAGGACCACTAGACTGAAAAACTCTTTCTTTCCCTCTGCCATCAGACTCCTAAAAGAGGAGGAGAGGTGCTCTCCATCATGGGACAACCTCAACCCTCAGCCTAGGCCTATAGCTAAAGGACAGTACACTGAAAGACTGAAAATCCTCAAACAAATTATTCTTGTACAAGTGGTCACATAACTGCTTTGCAACAGCTTTTTCAAGGATTTTAGAAATGAATGGGAGATTTAGATAACGGTCTATAAGTAGCCAGGACACCTGGGTCAAGAGTAGGCTCTTTGAGTAGAGGTTTAATTACAGCAAGCCTGTGGAACATAACCTGTTAATAGAGAGAGTTGATCAGATCTAATATGGATATATTGATTAGGGGTAAGACGTCTTAGGCCCCATCCCAACCAGGGACATGCCTAAGAGACATGTTGATGATTTAGATGAAGCAGTTATTGAGGTCAACTCAGAGAGATCAATGGGAGAGAAGCTGTTTAAATATAAACAGCTGATTGGCCGGTGTCACATCCTCGCTGGAGTGGAGCTGTCAGGTATGTTGTTGTGTTTGTTTTGCTTTATGGTTATAGAGTCGGCCCACACTGGACACACCAGGCTGTCAGAGTATTAAAGTGGGTAATGACTGGCTCTGGTTCTGTTCTAAGCTTCAATGTCCTGTCTGGCTGATATTTTTGGCAAAGCATACAAGTCTTCAAAGCTTTTGCAGTGTTAGAAGAAAAAGTCCATGTAATTACGATAGGAAGCAGGGTTTGTTTTTTCAGATAAGTGGAGAAAATATTTGCCTTGATTAAGCTGATTTAAAATTGTTGTTCTCCATGTAAATGTCCCGTACAATGACCATGAACACCAAAAACTAAGTTCTCAAATTTGAAATATGAAATGATTACATATGAGTCAGGCCCATCTTTGGTCCAATTCCCTGCATCTGGTTGTTGTGGTGCACAGGGACCTGTAGCTCCATGCAGAGGGGAGGAGTTCAGTTTGTGTCCAGGGTGTGAGGGGTCTGCAGAAATCTTCTGTGCATATGTGTATACAGTATGTCACATGAACACCAGTGCACCTGTTCACATTACAATGAGGTGATGACCGTTACTGCCCTCAAGTGGTCACAGTGAGGACCTGCAACATTCTACACACAACACTGATAAAGAGTCTGTAGCTGAATATCAAAGCCCCCTATGAGGTCTAAAGCTCTGAACCCTCAAAGATATTACTGACATCCCCTGTAAGTGAGTGAGTGCAAGGGCTGGACATTGTATCAATTGGAATTGGACTTTATGACCTATCGCATCACCTTGAACTATCTATTCTGACAATGGAACTCACTTTTTGGTTGCTTTTCTCTTAGAGTAAAGCAAAGAGTGCAGATTGAATTTGTTTCCCTCCACTATCAGTACTGCTGGTTCCCCAGTGTGCACAGTGTCTCTGTATGCAGAGAGCTCCCAGTGTACTAGGTAGGCCACAGCTTGGAATACACACACATCCGAGATGAAACTTTTTATTGCTAGGATTTTATAAACCTGTGTTTTTGGACTGATTTATTTTAGTATTTTTAGTTGATGCATATGTTCCACTGTGCTTTGTGCTCTTTGGAGTTGTAAAGTGCTATATAAATAAAATTTATTATTATTTATTAACCAATACAATGTCAATGGATACCACTTTTTAAAGCAGTACTCTAATTTATTGAACAATCACAGTTACAGAGAATTGTACTATAATCAGTTACACTGATATTCTCATGGAAAATTTTCAATATTTGAAACAGAAGGCTTTCAGTCTATTAGTATAATGGCCTGTATAGCACAGAAGTCAGTTTAATTTGATTTCCCTTATCGCTATTTATGGCAGAGTGCACGCCCAAATCACACAGTGTTGGAGAAAGCGGGCCGCGCTCCAAAACCTGCTTCATGACCATAAACGGTGAGTCTGACAGAAAACAATGTAGCATTCCCACTTGACTTTGTTTTACATAAAAGGAGGGAAGTATAGCGAAGTCACTATATGAAATAAAACTGGAACGAGCAGAAAAACAAGCCAGTTTCATGTGCAGTGAAACTTCGAGGCATCTCCACAACTAGCATCATGTCACGGCAACAGCAAGACGTACTTCTGGGACAAACACTGAGCTCTATGTACACAAACTAAACACAAAGAAACAGGCAAGAACAAAAACAAATCAAGACATGCATAACAGTTAGCTGAACATAGTTCAGAGTATTGGATGTGTCATAAGCACAATGCCATGAAGAGGCATTACTTTGGGCCCACGCTCAGGGGCCACACTGACACACAGTGCCAGGAGGCCAGAGAGAAGGCGCTTCTTCAATACACACAAAAGTTCTCTCTTATCAGCAGCATGTGTTACTGTACAATTTAGTCATTATGTGTACAACATGACACGTTGGAAAGAAACCAGTGGGCTGTATGTAGCTGGCTTGTAACAAAGTGTATGATGAGCTCACTCTGTAATTTCTCAGTGGCCATTTTGAAGTTGCTTTATACTCTGGTGGGCTCTACCTGGTCAGGTACAACCCAGCTATGTCCTGCAGTGCCAAACAAACTTTAACATTTGAATCTAGAGTGCCATATGTACTGTAGTCAGGTGTGTTGTTACACACCTGACTACAGGTGCACACCTGACCCGTTTGGTGGACCTCCCCTGAAACAATACAGGGTATAAGCTTACTAAGTGCTCAGGTAGCCTCAGCAGTTATAAACTGTGTGCAAAGGTGCTAGCAGGTTAGCAAATTCAACATCCTGCTGCATTTAAGCAGCTGTTGATTTCTTAAATGATTTACAATTTATGGTTCCATGAAAAAATGTGTTCATTTGTAAATACTCCAGGTAGAGTTTCAGTAGAGTGTCAGAAGTATTCAAAACGGTAGCCAGGGGATATGGGATGGACCAAAGTATGAAGCTTATAACACACGGTTGGGGTCCACTCAATTTCAAATTTACAGAAGGTTTGGTTACCCATAATACACACATTATTTCAAGCTGACCTTTATGTTCCTTTAAAAGATATCCACTTCCTAACTTGGAGACAAAAAGGCTTAGAAATTAACTGACCCCAACTGAAAAGGAGTATTTCACTCTCATTCTTAAATGAGTAGTTGTGTCAACCAAACCATGTTGCTCATACAGTCTCATTGGAGCTCCTGTAAAAACTAAGCCAGCTTCAGACCCAAACTCACAGATAAAGAAGTTGCCGTACCTCAACACAGTAGGCAGACAACTCCTTTTGTTTCATTACATATTTAAAGTAATTGTTTCAGTGCTATTTCCATAAGTTTAAAAGACAGAACAGAACAGTTGTCAATGCACTTCATCATATAGCAATACATCAAGAGTGTTTGATAAATACAGATCAAGGAGTCCAAGTACTGTGTATAAAATCAGCGACTTAGGTAATGATACAATTTGTATCAAACAAGGTTTTTCTCTGTCTAGCATGGATTCAGCTGGGATCTGCTACAGACAGCAGGAGGCGCCGTTAGCCGAAAGCACAGCAGGGGAAGCTGTCAAATATATTTACAGTACATACGTTTAGTTTACAGATGTGGAGATGTCCTGTCTGTAGCAGAAACCAGAGTTGACCCAAAATAAAGGGCCAGAGAGAGAGAGAGAGAGAGAAAGAGAGATGTCCCTTACTAAAACTAAGGTACACACGACAGGGTCACCCATCTCTTCAGCTACAACTCTGACCAAAATACTGACGTCATCTCAAATAAGACGACTGTCTTTCAGATGCCAATTTTTAACAACATGGGGGGAAAAAAAACACAAAGGGCTGCACAACACACATGACAAGGTTACTATAATACACAGACCTTAGTTAAATAGTAGTCTGAAACAGTCATGTGATCTTAGAGAACCACATGGTGATTTGTCATAGAACAAATCAAGAAAACTACAGGAAAATATTTAAAATTCACTTTGACTTATTATCTGTGACTCACACTTTCTTTATAGTTAGGAAGGAGAAAATCCCATCCCTCTGCAAGTACAGTGCATATATCCACAAAATCAGAATCAGGTCATAAAGACAGTGAAATATATTTGATGTGATGCCAAGTAGGTTGTCATTTGGCTGTAAAACAAAAGAGTGTCTTTAGATTTGGATGCATAACAAGTCAGTTATGTGAAAGACATTAATAAGATACTTAAAAAAAAAGATCCAGCGTTGAACAATTTCCTGCACTTGGTGTCAGCGTCATAGATTTGTCAAATGACTCGCTCGCTCCACACTTACTAAAGATGAACTGATCTAGCTGTCGCTGATGATGGACTTGGGATTATCTTCAGCATAAGTGTCATAAGAAAAGAAACTGCTCTCCTTGCTGACAATACAAAAGCATTCCAGTATTTAAAGATGACCGTGCAAACCCAACGTGCTTTCAAGTGTGTCAAGCTCAGGTTTGTCTGCAGATGCCAACTACTTAGTTTGTTTTCTAATGGGATTTTCTGGTTTCATTTCTTAATAGCCCGCCTGGGCTTTCTCTGCCAGGATGGCGGCTGCCAGCTGCTGGGGGTCTGTGATGTGGGGGCTCCTGGCCATCACCCGGCTCACCAGGTCTGAGGGGAAGATATTGCACAGGTTGATGTACACTTTCTCCCTCATGTCCCCATAGCGGCTGTGCACGGGGGATTCTGGGTGCTGTGGCATATAGGAGGGAGGAGTGTGGGAGGGCACTGTCAGGTGAGCGCTGTAAGGTGGGAGTGGGGTGCCGGGTGGATGAGGTGGGTGAGAAGACAGAGCCAGAGGCGGTGGGTGGTTCGGGTAATGACTTTGAGAAGGCTGGAGAGCTGGGTGTGAGGAGTGGTGCTGGGCGTAGCTGTCCTGTACCCAAGGAGGGGCATGCCAGGACGAATGGCGCGTGTCTGGCAGGCTCTGATAGGCAGACGGCTCGTACCTTGATGGTGGAATTGGCAGCTGCCTGTAGTATCTGTCACAGCTGGGCAAAGCTTTTGGTCGGTGGTGATGGTGTGAAGTGGAGAGGTGTTCGTACAGATGTGAGTCAGATACGCTCTCTGCTCGTGTGGGAGCCAAGCGGCAGCTGAGAGGAGAGCCAGGTGGGTGAGGGCCAGACTGCGGCAGAGAGTGATAGTCACCTGGGCAGCTGGAGCGAGTAGCCAGCGGCTGGTGTTGGAGATGAGGAGGTAAGGGGTAGAGAGGGCGCTTTGGAGGAGCCTCTGGTGGGGGCTGATCATGAGTGCAGCTTTGGCCTTGTGCTACACTCAGGTGGTAACTGTGCATGCTAGTATTAGATGTGTGGCTGTGCTGGATAGTTGTGTAATCAGCAGGATGAAGGCCACAGAGTTCATGGTTGGATGGGGCAGGAAGAGGATACATGCGGCTATGGGGATTAGCAAAATGGATGCTGTCTTCCGGTAAGGTCTCCGGGGGGCATCCGGGACATGGCCTCTCGCTGTACGAGTCGCAGCTGCTACTGCAACTCGTGCTGCTTTCACTGCCACATTCAGATCCCGCTGAGCCCATTGAGCCTAGCCGCAGGTCTGAGTCGTTAGGGAAGCGACAGTCTGGACTCCGTCTGGAGGAGAGGCTCAGGCTGGAGTATGCGCGTGTCACTGAATAGTAGGTCAGGTCTGGGGACTCGCAGTGAGGGTAAAGATCGCTGCTGGAGGCTGGCAGGAGACCGTGAGGAGTGGCTGCTCTGGACTGTTGGTCGAGGGGAAGGCTAAGGCCAGACGGAGGGCCTCCTGGGGCAGGGGATGTGGTTGTAGTCCCGCTGTTACTGCTGCTACTACTGCCACACAAACTGTTCTTCAGGCTTTCTGCCCTCCCTTTTGCCAGTAGCTTCTCTTCAGCATCGCTATATGACAAAGCTCTGATGCTGGGGTCTGACTGCCTTTTCGGGGCACCTTTCTTTGCCTCAATGCTGCCAGCTGGCACACTGTGGCTCTTCACCAGCCCAGTGTCCCCCTGGTTCTTCGTGCTGACGCAGGTCTTGGCGCTGGCTCGCAGCTCATCAGCCACAGCACGTTGAGGCTGAGCGCTTCTCTCTGGGTGGTAGTACTTGCACTTGTGGCCGTAAGTGCATTTCTTTCCTGGAGAACAGAGAACATCCTAGTTTCATTACAAAATAAATAGGTTGAAGATTAAATCAACTGTTTTAATTAAGCAAAAGCACAGCTGCTGAAATTTCTCACGGTTGGTTTACATTCCCAACAAAACATAACTCCAGTGACTAGAGTTTTCTACACTAAGTATAGCTGGCCGGGGCTACTATGAAACAACCAACACCCAGCAAATATATGCATACCTGATACCAGCAATACAGTGCTAATTTTGCAGTGTTGTACAATATTATGGGAATATTTTGCACTGCTGTCATGTATTAATATTTTTAATCACTTTATTTGGCCAAGCATGGAATTTATTTCCGGTGCTGAACCAAGGCACCAATTCACACCGATGGCTCTAACCATGGAGGGGGACCTTTGGGGTTCAGTGTCTTGCCCAACAGCACTTCAACATGTTGCCTGCAGGCACCGTGATTCGAACCTCCAACCCTCCAGTTGGGAGACGACCGCTATACAAACAACAACAACCCCGCACCAATGCGCCCCTGTAGTTTGAGATCCCCAGGTGAACTTGAGGAAGATGCTGCTGTAACTGTGGTCACAGCAGGCAGTGGCTGAGGAAGAGGGCCGTTTTTTACTCATTTATCTGTTGTACCAGGAGTGTGTGCTTGCATGTATGCGACTGGCCAATACAGCAACTTTCCAGATGATGTCATGTTGAACCAGATCCAACATTTTTCTCCTCACAATGCTGCGTCATTTTGGCTGAGCCTGGGTGGTACCGGCTGCATAACGCACTTCACCAGTTCATATGAATAAGAAGGGTGACATTACTCATGTTGTATCAAAGTGAAACAAAGCAATAAATATCTCTACAGTTCACATAAATTAGTCCGGTTGGGGGTCTAATTAAACAGACACATCTGTTGGGAATAGCCCGTACAGTGCCTTGCGAAAGTATTCGCCCCCTTGAACTTTGCGACCTTTTGCCACATTTCAGGCTTCAAACATAAAGATATAAAACTGTAATTTTTTGTGAAGAATCAACAACAAGTGGGACACAATCATGAAGTGGAATGAAATTTATTGGATATTTCAAACTTTTTTAACAAATAAAAAACTGAAAAATTGGGCGTGCAAAATTATTCAGCCCCTTTACTTTCAGTGCAGCAAACTCACTCCAGAAGTTCAGTGAGGATCTCTGAATGATCCAATGTTGACCTAAATGACAAAGGATGATAAATAGAATCCACCTGTGTGTAATCAAGTCTCCATATAAATGCACCTGCACTGTGATAGTCTCAGAGGTAGTCACAAAGCCAGCAAAGAATTACCAGAAATTTTAACTGTTCAGACCTAGTCACATTTCTGGCTACACGTCTGAATTGAACTGGTCAAACTGCTGGTAAGGGCCCAAGGCACGAAGCGCGTTAGCCCGTACAGTGCCTTGCGAAAGTATTCGGCCCCCTTGAACTTTGCGACCTTTTGCCACATTTCAGGCTTCAAACATAAAGATATAAAACTGTAATTTTTTGTGAAGAATCAACAACAAGTGGGACACAATCATGAAGTGGAACGAAATTTATTGGATATTTCAAACGTTTTTAACAAATAAAAAACTGAAAAATTGGGCGTGCAAAATTATTCAGCCCCCTTAAGTTAATACTTTGTAGCGCCACCTTTTGCTGCGATTACAGCTGTAAGTCACTTGGGGTATGTCTCTATCAGTTTTGCACATCAAGAGACTGAAATATTTGCCCATTCCTCCTTGCAAAACAGCTCGAGCTCAGTGAGGTTGGATAGAGAGCGTTTGTGAACAGCAGTTTTCAGTTCTTTCCACAGATTCTCAATTGGATTCAGGTCTGGACTTTGACTTGGCCATTCTAACACCTGGATATGTTTAGTTTTGAACCATTCCATTGTAGATTTTGCTTTATGTTTTGAATCATTGTCTTGTTGGAAGACAAATCTCCGTCCCAGTCTCAGGTCTTTTGCAGACTCCATCAGGTTTCCTTCCAGAATAGTCCTGTATTTGGCTCCATCCATCTTCCCATCAATTTTAACCATCTTCCCTGTCCCTGCTGAAGAAAAGCAGGCCCAAACCAGGATGCTGCCACCACCATGTTTGACAATGGGGATGGTGTGTTCAGGGTGATGAGCTGTGTTGCTTTTACGCCAAACATAACGTTTTGCATTGTTGCCAAAAAGTTCGATGTTGGTTTCATCTGACCAGAGCACCTTCTTCCACATGTTTGGTGTGTCTCCCAGGTGGCTTGTGGCAAACTTTAAACGACACTTTTTATGGATATCTTTAAGAAATGGCTTTCTTCTTGCCACTCTTCCATAAAGGCCAGATTTGTGCAGTATACGACTGATTGTTGTCCTATGGACAGAGTCTCCCACCTCAGCTGTAGATCTCTGCAGTTCATCCAGAGTGATCATGGGCCTCTTGGCTGCATCTCTGATCAGTCTTCTCCTTGTATGAGCTGAAAGTTTAGAGGGACGGCCAGGTCTTGGTAGATTTGCAGTGGTCTGATACTCCTTCCATTTCAATATTATCGCCAGTTTGGATTTTACGGTACTGCTAAACACTGCACCTCCATGATGTTGACACCCAATGTGATCAGGATATGAATATGACTATTACAATTTTTGATGTGTAATGCTGATAACATGAAGCAAAATCACAAATTTGGAGTCATCTGGTTGTGGTGCTGGGGCTTGTGCGTAAAAACCTGTTATTTTCATAAAAGTGGTGCACAAAACATTTTTATTTTGCCTGCACAAATCAAAATGTAATTAATATTGTAATCATATGGGGTACCGCTTTGAAAGACGTACAAACTTTGTACCCTTATTTCATTACAGTTACATTTAGATTTTTAAGTGAATTTTAAATACAGGTGATGTGTGCATTCTCACCATACGGGCACGGCTGTTTCTTCTGCTCAGGCATGACAGGTCTTTTCCTCAGGAAGTTGTCTAAGCTGGGGCCGTGGCGACCGAGAGGGTCATCAGGGGGCATGAATCTAGGAGATGGCAAGGACAAGATATTGTAATAAAATAAGCTGTAATTCTCTCTCTCTTAAACCTAGTGAAAATGAACGCTATTTACAATAATGTTATTTCAGTCACTGATAACTGTGAATGAAATACCAAAGGTTATTAGTCTTATTTAAAAACTTTTGTCACCTTGTCATATTGATAAAACCCGTCCCTCACTGATCCACTCCCGCTTACTTGTCATTAACAAAGGAATACATGAGCAGCCGCTCATCAATGAACTTCTTCCACTCAGGCTTCTCGTTAGCCAGGTCTCTGTAGTTGTCGTTGGAGACAATGATGCCATCTGACTCGAAAGCCAGCTTGACAATGAAGCGGTCATCGTAGCAGACCACGCGCCGGCCTTGGACTCGCCGTGACGGAGTGAAGACCAGGATTTTTTCCTTTTCTAGGCGGCGCAAGATTTCCTGATCTGTGGAGGAGCCAGTTACGGTTAGCGTTGAACCTTCTCACAGCTGCATATGTTATTTGGTCAAACAGCCTCTCGTACAGACCTGTTATTGGGGCATCAGGACGGGACTGCTCTTTCCTCCAAGCAGGCACAAACACTGTGATGTCATGATGGCCGCGATCTAAGAACCAATCTACAGCCAGCTGGATGCCCTGGCATGAAAACACCTCCTTGTTGCCATGGCTACCGGACATAGCAAAGAGGCAAAAGGGGATTTGGGGTTTTAATGCTGGCCAATACAGCAATGAACACATATGCTATGGTGTAAAGGTCCACTGTGTGGAATCAATAAGACATTTTACAGTGTGACACAGACTGCTCACCTCATGGCTACATTACTGCCGTCCACCACGATCGCCCGCAGGTTGTCCTGGTCACACGGAGAGTCCGAGGGACAGGGTGAGTCTGACCTCTGGCCATCCAGCAATTCGGAGCAACCACAAGACGAAGAGGAGGATGAAGAGGATGAGATAGAGGCTAATGATCCAGCTGGGTGCTCGCTGTCTGCTTTGGTGCCCAGTTTGACCAGCTCTCCCAGTATGTCATTGGTAAGTGTGTCGGGGCCCAGCTTGGACAACACCAGTCGCACCGTCTCCTCCGAGTAGCCCAGCTTTAGGGCAAACTCCAGCTTAGCCTGGTACTCCTTCCCGCCAGCCTCGAATGCTGGTGTGGAGGGAATGGACGGAGGTGGATGCTTACACAGGGAGCTGGCTGGGGAGTCGGCAGGAGTGTTGTGTTTAAGGTCTGATGAGAGCTCAGACGGGGGCTCAGGAGGCCCCTCGTTGCCTAAGTCCACACACTGGGTCCGACAAAGCGGCTGGTGCGTGTTCTTACTGAGAGTTGACCCTCCCTCTCCTCCATTGGGGTTTGGGCCGGCAGTGAGGGTGGTGCTGGAAGACGGTGCCGCCTTTGGCTGTCCGTCGGAACCAGTGTTGTCCTCCACCACAGCTGCTGGAGGGGAACTGGCGGTGCTGCTGATGCCAGAGCTCTCCCCCTGCTCCTCCATAGCAGGGGGCCCTTCAGCGCCACCAGCCTGCCGGTCAGCCCCCGCTACGTGGAGATACTCCAAGTCCAGCCCCAGGTCGAGGATGTGGCCTGCTCCTGCCTCCACATGGTCCTTCTGGCCCATGGATCTGTCACAGACATCCAGCAGACTGGGCTGACCGCTGCCCTCTCACAAAGCTCGACTCATTGGTACCTAAAGGAAGAGACAGAAGGAGGATGGAGTGTGTGTCACAGTAACCATGAGCCTTCCTGGGGGAGGAGGGAAGTCGCACTAGTACTCAAATGCAAATTTGTTGTTACATACATAAGGAGATCACACGTAATATTATGCCTCCATGTAAAGTGTGTAAATCCCCACTTTGGCTGAATCTGTCATTTGCAAAGTACACTGTCATCTTAGCGAAATCTGACTTTTCACTTTTATTTTCCAAGGGAAATTCTGACCCAAGCCAAGCCACCCCAATGCCGTAAGGCTGTGAGCTCATGTTTTTCACACTGGCTGATAGGCCCCTCTCAACCTAATTAATGGACTGCCACAGTTTTTAAAGTTTGGCCCCAGTGTGCTATTATAGGACCACACCACAGCACCTTACTCTAAGGGGAAACAGAGGACGAACTGCTAAAAAAAAGACACCATGCTGTTAGCGATGGGGCCAATGTACCCTCCCCCCCTCACATTCTATCTGTTAATTAAGGTCCATATGCTTCTTACTGCTGGGGTTTTGGAATCACAGAACACTGAGGGGCCCTGAGGCGACGTGGTTCAGCTAACCTGAACAGAAAAAGTCTGAACAACAACTGAACATCAGAGAGGATTTACTGCAGGACTGCTCTATTAGACTGCATTCACTTTAGATGAGTGTAGCCTTAGCAAACTCTACCAATCTAAATGTGTGGTTCAGACTGTGCCTAAAGCTTTTCAACCTGGTCAGATCTGAGCAGCTTCCAACCCAGATAAAAAATGCAAACCCACATTATCTGGACAGAAAGGATGATGAAAAGGGAAGTGACTTCAAGGTGGAGGGTGGGCGGTGGGAGACGAGGACGCGGGGTGGAGTTAGTTTGCATTTTATGAAAAAGGGGCTGCCTAGCAACATGGCCGAGTTACTGTTGCTAAGCTACAGCTGTTGGAAGCATTCTCCCTTCCAAATGCCAAGACAGAGGCTGCGGCGTTCAGTCAGCGACCCGCCTTCCATACACATGCAACAAAAAGGTCTGGTGTGGGGGAGGGAGGGTCTTAAGTGTGCCTCACTGAAAAGCCACCCAAGGCAACAATAGACCTGCAGGAGTGATTAGGACTGGGACCTTGGCGTCAACCACTGTGGGCGTTGATGGTGCCTGCGTACACATACTGCGTCTGCCTCATGCTGCTGTGGAGAGAATGGGGCTACTTGGAACATTTCATGTGCGCTCTACTCTGTTGCTGGTCTAAACTGACACATCCAAACTATCTTTCCAGTGAGATTTTCTCTCAGTCTTGACATCATCCAGGCTCAAGCACAAGCTACACATCAATGCTTGTGTACACATTATATTAACCCAGGGGTTTTCAACCAGTGGTCCACAAGGACTGTGCATTTAATAATGTAGTTTAACTGTATGAATCATTACTTTTTCAATTTTATTTTTAAACTGATTTTACTTATTGTTTGTGAATAATCACATTCATACAAATATACACAATTTTAAAAAGCCAAGATGACTTTCAGGATTGAACTGGTGCCCATCCAGGCTACAACAGTGGTCCTCAGGTTACTTCTTTGTCAGAATGATGATCCCTGGGTCACAGTTGAAAACTCCTGCATTAACCCCATCTAATCTAAGACATTACAGAGGAGCAAAACTGTTACTGTGCATTAAGCACATTTGCCTTCCCTCACTGATATACTGAACTAGTCAAACAAATCAAAAACAACTGTATATAACAAAGTTTTTTTGCATTTTGGGTAAAACCTGATCTGAATAGTGTTCTTGACACAATCTTCTCATAATTAGGATTTTAAAATGTCTTTTAGCTTAATACATAAACATGCATTCAGTGCACTGTGGAATCCTCAAATCAGGCCCAGTCTCAACAGACCAACAGCAGAGCAGCCTCATCACGCCATCTCCAGACCTGCAGGCCGAGTGGGTGCATCTTTCAAACATCAATCGGCTGGCACCGACACACACGGCTGCGCTGGCAGCTGACAGGAGTCAAGCAATGAATATGTAACAGGGTCCTTCCAGGTCTTTGTGTGTGGGAGCTTTGTAGCTTTGTGGAAGTGGGTGCAGTGGGTGAGATAGGGGGTAGAGGCTTTTGGGTTTCAAGGAGAAGGGGAAGGGGGGGGCTAGAAAGGGTTGTCTGGTGGTACATTGCTTCATGCCTGACACTGCGCAAAACTCATTATAAAAAGGGAAGTAATTAGCCGGGGAATACAGTGTATGTGTGCATTTCTCTGTTCAGTTGTGGCGGTTAGGGTAAGGGGCTAGGCACGCATTATGTCTGTGTTCTCACAGACAAGCATGTGTGCGCACGCTGGTGTATCTAGATGGCACACTAGGCTTTCCCCGCCAGCAGCAGGGCGACAGATGTCTGCTGAGTGGTAACTGCAACTGGTGTCTCCCCTTCTCAAGCACACACACACACAGAGCACCCGTCTCCACACTGCCAAAAGAGCGAGAAGAAAGGCGCTGCGGGACAGACACTGACACACAATGAGGAAACACAATGACAGTACACTGTTAAAGCTGCATGCATGTGCACATGCACAAACTTTCCAGGGCCACCATTTTTAGCCAAAACACTGACTTTACATTAGCGCAGAAACAGAGAGACCAATCCCTGCATCATGCTTTATATCAACACTGATCTGTTTACAGTTCAGACCAGTGCAGTGTAACAGCTGCAGACTTACGCAAAGCTTAGCTGGGTGCTTTACAGTCTCTTATGACTCAGGGCTGTAAACTAAGACTTCTTGGAATGTCGGTGTCACTCGTGGGCCCTGTCTGCAAGTTGCATTTGTTGTCTGCAATAGGTCACTTCCAGAACCAGTATCAGACAAATAAGTTTAGAGAAAGCAGAAAGCTCACGTTAGACTATCAGTACTAAACTCTGGCCCGTTTCAAATTTAAAGGAATGTGGTCATTTAGGTCAAACAATTATTCAAGTATTCTGCCAGTGTAGAAGTGATTTATGGTACAGCCTTGCACAGGCCCTACCAGGCCCAACCTATGGTGCAGGTAACACTGTAACCTGGTCTCTCTGGACCTCGATGGCACCAGCGAAACAGGGTTAGGCTAAAAGTACATGTCAGAACTTCTACAAAATAATAACCAGATAAACAGAAAACATTTAAACTGGCATTTCTGCTGAAATTTATCACACTCACCAGATCTGATATCATTAGCTCATGTCCACATATTAAAATTCTTGAAAACCAGACTGGAAAACTGAGAAACAACAAGTCCCAAAGTTCCCACAGCAGTTACATCCGAGGCCAATGTTTGCCTTAGATGCAGGTAAAGCACAGAGCATCCAACTCCAGCCAGTGTCTGAGTGTCCACCAGAACTGGAGAAGCAGGCAAGTTGGACAATGAGGGGCGGAACAGATGGACCAACAATGAATGCCGTTCGCCCATTTAGACTGTCTAATTTTCCACCAATCAGAGAGCAGCAGCCTTACAATGAGGCACAGAGATGGGGGCGGGGGGGTGCCTGCAACACCCAGTTACCCCGAGGCACGCGTACTCAACGTGCGCCAGCACACACAGTCCCCTTCTGAGTCTGAAAGGCCCTTCCCTGTGTGGCCGCTGAATCAACAAGGGGCGGGCAGGTGAACAACAGAGCCACACAATGGGGAGGGCAGGTGCAGTGTGAGGGCTGCTGCGATTACATCTTGGGGCAGCAATGAAGAGCACCTGGCTACAGTGTGCCACAGTCACTATCCTCTCTTTGTCTCACGCTAGTGGAGGGGGGTCAAACAGAGAGAAAGGGCCAAGGCTGGCTGAAAGACTAGCCTGGCCTTTAAGAGAGTGCACGAGCAAAGAGGAGGGTGCGGCTGGGCTGAAAGGGGAAAAGGACAAGTGGTGGTGGGGTGTAGGGACATCAAAGTTTTAGGTCCCTGTCAGTAAGAGAAGGGGAGTCATTACTCATTGTTGCGGCAAATGTAAGGCAGATGACTCAGAAGCACAAGTCTAGCCTGCACACAAATGTAGAGGACTTAAACTAATCACATCCACACCAATATGACATCCAAACGGACACGGTAACACTTCTAGTTTTAATTGTAACAGTGTTACTGGTGCAAATACACATTAAAGAGTTTCATTACAGTTTATGTGCGTTCTCAGTCAACTCGCCAGGTAAGATAAATGTTCTTTCAACCAAGTGGCTCAACAGAAATCTTATTGAACAAGACTGTTGAGTCAGCTTGCATAGTAAGATAAAGGTGAGAAGGAGCGACACAGCAGCGCACCAACCGCACCGTATCCAAACACGGACATAACAACAGCAGTCTGCAGACCATCTGTTGGAGCAAACAGGTGTGTGCGCTGCTCCCAGCAACTGCAGCAACAATGTGGAGGATCACTGTTTCTCTCTTTGGAGACAGAAAGCTCTGAATTCATCCAGAAGCTGCAACTAATGATTCATTTCATTATACAAGAAAATGATTTAAAAAAAAAAAAAAAACACTGTCCAGCAGAAGCACCTAAAACCCTGTGACTTATTGTAACTGTTTGTTTTGTCTAAACAACAGACCAGACACCAAAGGCAGGAATCAGCCTTTAAAGTGAGAAGCTGCACTGAGGAAATGTTTGGCACTTTGGCTTAAAAAAAAATTACTTAAATGGCTAATCAAAATAGTTTTTTAGTATTTGGGGGCGGCTGTGGCTCAGGAGGTAGAGCGGGTCGTTTCCTAACCGGAGGATTAGCGGTTCGATTCCCGGCTTGTCCAGTCAACATGTCGAAGTGTCCTTGAGCAAGACACTGTACACCCAGTTGCTCCTGGTGATGTCACCGGTGTGTGAATGGGTGAATGGCCAAATAGTGTGAAAGTGCTTTGAGTGTGCTGTAAAGCATAGAAAGGCGTTATACAAATATAAGACCAAGAATATTTTTATGTAAAGGTTCCATCTGGCAGGTTACAACAAATACAAATTTGCATGTACTAACAGAGGCCTAGGTGTCACCTAGGCAACAGGATGAGACCTTCTGCCCTCATGACCTCTCTGACCCCTTGCATTTCCACCCAGCACTGAAACCACTGACAAAACCAGTTAGAATATGATTGCAACACTCACCAGCTGGGAACATCTCTGCTGCTGCATGTTTGTGTGATTCAAATCAACACCCATACCCATGGAGAAGTAAACAGACAACACCTTCATGCTGAGTCAAAGGGCCACAGCTCCTGAACCCCAGTTAGATCTTTAAAAGCAAAAGGAAATGCAGAGTTTCTCTTTGCTACTGAACTTCAGGAATGATACTCTGGGTTGTAATATAAGAGGGATTATTTGACTAATTACAGCCTCTGAAAAAACCTTTGTAAAAGACAAAAGTGAGTAACAGCAGTCCACACTTTCAGTTTGGACTAACATGGTCACAAGTTTAAGGACTAGATTATACAGAATCCTCATGGGATGAGGACAGGCAGCTGCTTAACCGTGCGCTAACCCCCAAAATGAAAATTGTGACCCCGCCCCCCGCCCCAACAAGACAAACCTGGGCTGCTACTGCTGCGACCCTCAGGTAGCCGGAACAAACCAGCGTGCTGCAGACAGCTGACACAGAGATACATGAAGGAATACATACAAACAGAAACAAAAACAGACAGGCAGTGATCAGCAGCCTGTTTCCTCTTCAAGAATCCACCAAAGGAGAAGTGGAAGCGTGCGTTTTGCTCGGGCCTCCTTCCCTCCAGAGCCGCCACACTGCTCGCTCATTACATCACCTGGATTTCTGGTCAAAAGATGTAACAACCACCACAGCAACGCCCTCGTCCAGCCAGTTCAATTGACCACAATTTGTACAAACTATATTATGGATACTGGGGTGCGCGCACGGGCGTGCACCGTCACTGCATACCCTACACTGTATACCAACACCGTCACGATCTCCCTCCAGCTTTCACCCACACCTACTCGCAGCTCGTCTCGCTATCGAGCCGCTCTGGTGACGCGGTATGCGGGTGCTCACCTGTTTAGGGCCGCCGCCCGAGCCGCACGTTTATCTTTCTGACAAAATGACCAAATATACCCATCACATAATGACGACGCAAAACATCCGGCGAGATTGCAGCGTGACCCAACCAAACTGCGTCAAGTTAAAGAGAATGACATGGCCACTTCCGCTCTGGCGGTGTTTCAAAATAAAATCTGTGCGTGGTCTGTCAATAAAAGAAGAGCGATAGCTCTATTTGTCAAGATCCTATCGAGCTATACAGGAAAATATATTTGACCTTCAGACCTCCTTTGCAGACAATTTCCTAATTGAAAATACATCATGCTTCTAACACAATCTGAGCTTATGCTTGTAACTCGTTTAATTTTTTGAGGCGTAAACAGGACACTAGGCTGTGCACTACCAGGGTTAACTTTAAAGTGCAAGCCCTGTAGAAGCGCCATGAAGTGGGATGGGCCGTGAGGCGCCATCTGCTGGTGAAGGCAAATAATGGCAGAAACCTTTTTTGTTGCGTTTAAATCACAATTTACAGGTCGAGTTTTTCCTCGTTTAATTTTTTCAACAGTGACAGAGTTTGAAAGCTGCACAATGCACTATATATATATATGTATATATGAATTTTGGCACTAGCAGTTCAGAACTCCCTTATGCAGCTCACAAACATTTTAAAATCAGCAACATAACATTTTGGCAAGTTTTCCCATTTGAATTTTGGCATCAGTCTTGTAGTAAAAACATGATAATAAATAAGCTAAACAGAGCACGGACATGGTCCCAACATACAGAGAAAATTGAGTTTTGTTAAAACAACTATTACAAAGAATGACACCGTTTTGTAAATTACTTCTGACTTTATTCAATAGGGGGGAAAAAAGACCTCAGGAAAATACAGTAATTCCCATAGTACACATAGAGAGGACATAAATTAGAAAGGCATGGCAGAGAGTAAACATGTCACCTGGCACCTGGGTGGTAGAAAACATTTGATCCACACAGCCAGGGGCACACTGTGCACTACAATGGATGAAGAGGAATCAGTGAAGTCACACTCTGGACTTAACGTGAGCAAAAGATGATTAGTTCTGTACACAAATGTCTAAATGATAGTACAAAAAGGGAATAATACAAAATACAAAACAGGGAAAACTGCCCTTAAAATAAACCATAAATATTCATATTGATGCACATTGGTTTAAAACAACTGCTTTGTAAACATTTTCAACATAAGTTGTGCATTACAATTTAAAAACCACTGCAGTCACATACTTATCTGAAGAGTTACATGATAAAATTTGCAGAAACGACTAAAAAAAAAAATAAAAAGACCAAAACAAAACTTGAGTTAAAGTTGATGCTCTCTGAAGTGGTTTTGTAACACTGCTTTTCGAACGTGATTTTTCTGATTCTCACAGATTAGACAGTGAAAGTATCTCACTCTCCTGTTCTGCAGCTCTCAGCAGGCCCCTCCTTGTACACTGAAGGCACCGTCCCTACTGAGAGCAGAGTCAAGTTTAGGTGAAGGGAATGAAACCTTGCAGATGTGAGTCTTGTTTCCAACATACTCACAGTCGCAGGATAGGTTCTACATCTGACAGCGAAATGAAGCTGTCTTAATGTAAAGAGACAAGTCTTGCCTTGTTAGTGTGGTTTGGAAGATGAAAAATAAAACAAATTTAAAACTGAACTCTGGGATGGAGTAATGGTCTATTTAAAGTTGTGTATTTGTAAACCCAAGAAAAACTAGGTCCAATGTTGAATCAGTTTGCTTGTTCAGACTAAAGTTTCCCTACCCTAAATCTCTTTTGTCTTTGCAGAGAATTTTGAGCACTTTTACTCAGCTTCAGACTGGACATGAAGCTAAAGTCTCCTTCAAAACAGTTAGATGATGAATGTGAACTGTTCAGCTGGAGGACCACTGTGGTTTCCTCCTTGCTGTGGAGTAAGATGATCATTGTTTCTTCTCAGCCCACTTACGTGACATCTATGCATGCTGCCTTCATTCCCCTCCTGTCACCTCTGCCCACTGGCCTCCATGCTACGTTAACGGCCACCTGCTACTTTTGCATGTCTAATTTCACAGTTTATCCTAGCCCTACTTATGACTGATGTTAAAGGAAAAAAAACAAACAGTTTGTGGCTATGAACCTCACATTTCTGGGTCCATTATATGGTAGTGTCTTGTTTATGTCTGTGTTAAATTGACCAACTAACATAAGATAAAGCTGATGCTAAATAGGGTGACTTCTTCCTTTAAAGCTTATCTTTGAGTCTGTACTGCATCCTTACACTTTACTTATGTGCAGCAAGTCACATATAAAATATAGTGTATGAAAACCAGGGTTAATTTAGTCAACACCAAAGCAACATGCTGTCATAAACAGGGCTATCTCTGCCTGACATAACCTACTGTCTGTGAGGCAATGTGGTAAAAGTTGAGAAAGTCTCTGTTAAAGTCTGAAGCCCACAACGTTGATGTATTTAGTATGTACAAGCTGATATCCAGTACCCTGTATTTAACAGATATATATCATGAAGGTCCCTTAAAAAATCTTCACTTTAACAAGGACAAGGCAAAAAAGTGAAGAAAGAGGCAGATTTACAAGTCAAGAGTGTTTACGGGAGAAAAATGGGGGCTGTGAACTAGCGTTTGATGACATGCTTGGCATGGAAATCTACCGTGGTGGGAAGAGAAGTTAACTTTACCCGAACAAGACCTCGACTAAACATAGCTAAGCTCAAGGTGTGGCACATAAAGTATCTGCCGTCTTCAACAGAGCAACTGTTGTGTTTAGCCTCTTTATCGCCCCTTCAGACAAACACACTTTGCCAGTCATTCACATGCTCAGTGTTTTTTTTTTCTTCATCCACACACATACACACACAATGCAAAGTTTTACTATGACACAAAGATTTTACCATGAACAGACAATAGATCCCACCTCCTGCTGAGGGAGAGGAGGAGGAGATCGGCTCAAAGGTTGGGCAG